TGCTTTTGAAGCAAACAGTGCTGAAAAATGACTCCAAAGACACAAAAACTATGTCCGCCAGTCAGCTAACTTTCGATCTTCCGTGTGTATATGTTTATAGTGAAATAAACTTCATTCATTCATTCATCTGATTGCAAAATTGCAAAAAAATGTCATGGACATGTATCCTAATATGTATAATTAACAAAACTTGAACGAAAACTGACAAAGCTGGTGCATATCCAAGATACTACTTTATTGAAAAAAAAGATAGCTGCCATGGATAAGTATTTTAACAAGTATATTTTTTGTACACAATTTGAATAAAAAAACTGACAAAGCATATCTAAGATACTTCATTGTCCAAAACAAGATGGCTACCAGTTAGCCATCATTGATCCAATCATGAAATCATTGCATGTGCATATGTTGCAGATAAGGTAATATATATGAGCTAATTTTGAAAACAATCAGTCCAGGGATGTCCAAGATCCAGACCCGGACACAGACTAACCCACAAGTCCCTGTTTCATACTTCGTTTCAGACATGCATTTTTGTGCACAAAATGGCCACTAGTCAGATTGATCCATGCATGAAATCGCGCATAGGATAAGGTTCAATGTATTTCTGAAATTTGAAGAAAATTAGTCCAGAGATGTCCAAGATACAATCCAGACAGACGGAGACTAACCTGTGTGGTAGACGTGGTTTGGCGGTCAATAATATGATTTCAAAATGATCACTGAAGAAGTCGGGAAGACAAGATGGAACTTTTATAAGGGCACACTGAAATAATAAAGCACAATACACATTCAAACAAGCAGCCTATCTGCTGAGATAGCTCCGCTGTTAGCAATGCACATTTCAATAAAAGAACAGAAGATATCATTAGAAAATGAACAATATGTATAGTATCGAAGCAATCAAGTCAAAAATATAACTTTTTACCAAAAATGACAAAAACATTCACCAAAACTAGAGAATTGAAAATATCATCCCGCAATGAAAAAATCTGAGAGAAGTTCACATGTAGTACCTATATATGTAATATCGAAGCAATCGGATTTGCAGTTTTTAACAAGTCGAAAATATCACTTTTTACCAAAAACATTCACCAAAATTAGAGATATCATCACGAAATGAACAAATCTGAGAGAGGTCCACATGTAGTACCGATATATGTAATATCAAAGCAATTGGACTTTTGGTTTTTAACAAGTCGAAAATATCACTTTTTACCAAAAATTACAAAAATATTCACCAAAACTAGAGAGGTTCACATATAGTACCTATATATGTAATATCGAAGCAATCGGATTTGCGGTTTTTAACAAGTCGAAAATATCACTTTTTACCAAAAACATTCACCAAAATTAGAGATATCATCACGAAATGAACAAATCTGAGAGAGGTCCACATGTAGTACCGATATATGTAATATCAAAGCAATTGGACTTTTGGTTTTTAACAAGTCGAAAATATCACTTTTTACCAAAAATTACAAAAATATTCACCAAAACTAGAGAGGTTCACATGTAGTACCTATATATGTAATATCGAAGCAATCGGATTTGCGGTTTTTAACAAGTCGAAAATATCACTTTTTACCAAAAACATTCACCAAAATTAGAGAATTGAAGATATCATCACGAAATGAACAAATCTGAGAGAGGTCCACATGTAGTACCGATATATGTAATACCAAAGCAATTGGACTTTTGGTTTTTAACAAGTCGAAATGTTCGTTGTATACTGACTAATCGACACCACGGACCCTGCCCCAAGGATTTAAATTGTGGCATCGACTCTCGTTGGCAAACAGGCCCCGATGAGAGGAGTGTTACATAAGAAATACAAAATGCTTTTCGAACTTTGGCCAGAAAGGCACGCCCAAATATTTTTAATTTCACGTACCAGTTCCGGTTCCGCATTTTTTAGACAACCATTTTTACGCGTTCCACGCTGATACTATAACCGAAAACTATCTAAAGCTGTGTGAATAGAAGGTGAGGTACTTCCACAGCACTCTGACATTTTTACCCGGAGAGTGATCAAAAAATTTGCGTTTGAAAATTTTTCTCTGTCTGAAAATAACATTTACTGAGTGTATTTCGCAGGTTTTTTTCAGCAAACATTATCTGTATGTTATTGAGTAATGTGAAACTTGTTATAATAGATAAAATATTGCATACTTCAAATATAAGTGTTGTTATTTTGTGGGAGAGCGGGTGTGAGTGATGTATGGCAAATGTGATTGTGCATGATGGATGTATGTTCAATGTAATAAAATAAATAACACATGGTTATTCGGGCAATATCACGATTTGTTGTCTGCCCTCGGGCTGTTACACCAACCCTTTTCGCTATGTCAGCGAAAAGATATTCATTCTAAATACAGCTCAACTATTTTTTCGAGAATAACAGGTGGACTCGGGAATCCCTGTTTACTGCTCTGTGAATGTCACAATGTTGATAATAACTTGCTGTAGTGTAGCAATATTTAGTTAAACATAATCGTTCAAAGAATGACTGAAACGATAGTAATACACTAAAATTGGCAGACTCCACCTATGGATTGAAAAAAAAGTGGAAAGCAAATCCGAGACCTCGTCTGAAGTTACTATTATGTCATCCCGAAGAGTCAGCAATTATATAGCTTGTTATGAAACGAATGTGTACATTGTAAGTATTACAGCATTATGCAATTAATACGTATCTCGTAACGATTACACTATGAAATAAATACGTATCTAGTTAGGATTACACTATGAAATAAATACGTATCTAGTTAGGATTACACTATGAAATAAATACGTATCTAGTTAGGATTACACCATTATAATGCATACGAACGTTGTAATGATTGCACTATCATATAATGAATACGTATATTTCATTATGACATTAATACGTACCTTGTAACGATTACTCTATTATGAAATAAATAGTACTTTGAAACGATTGCACTATGAAATAAATACGTACTAATTATTACATACGGAATGGGTATGCACATTGTTTACGATTACATTAGTATGAAAATGAGTGCTATTTTTACTTACTTCACTACAAAATGAATATATATTTAGTATTGAATAAATAAATAATCAGTTCACATATGAATTAAGGGGGGTTCAGTTAGCTTTATTTTAATCTTATTTTTATCTTATTACTGTTGTTACTTGTATAGTCAGTCAACTAGATTTTATTATATTTATTCGAGTCCATTACTGTACTGCATTGTTTTATTGCTTTGTATTAGATTTGTCTTTTGTTTACTATACACTTCATTTAACTTATTTAAACTTTATTCTAGTTTTATCTATCTTATTTGTATTCATTATAGTCTTTTAGCTATTTTATTATCTTTATTTTAGCTTATTACTGTAATGCATTGTTTTACCTTATGTATTTGTCTTTTATTTACCATACTGAACCCAAGGATGGTTTGGTAGTGTAATAAAGTTATTATCATTATTATGAAAACAAATACTGTGAAATCCACAAACGTATATCTCTGTTTTTAAATAAGTGTTTGTCCAATGGAAAAATAACAAAACGCACCGTAAGGTAAGGTGTTATATAATGTAACATAATATGGGAATTTTGGAAATGTGTTAATGATCTTTCTAAACCGCTGAATTTAAACATAATATAACATAATTTGTTAGACCCTTTATATACCTAATTGACAATATTATAACAAAGGGATTAATGCAGCATTTAGTGTTCTGACAGAGGGTTGGGAACTTTGGACAATTCATGTGTATGTAACATTCAGAAATAGGTCACATTTCCTAAACTATTGCCCGCATTAATTCAAAACAATTTTGTTGTCACCCAAAATACCCTAAAGTAGGTAAAATAGATATTTTATGGTCTAGGGGACGATTTATAAAACTGATATTTTTGATATTTTACTTCGATGACCTAGAATCCATGACTACGCCCGTATTTACGATTGTCATTATGAAGCATGTAACTACTAGTATATGTGAAGCCAAAGTAGATACATGTATAGGCTTGAATGAGTGATTATCTTGATGAACAATTAATAGATTATGTGACCTCATTAAATATGCATAAATCAATTAGCTCAAATACTATTGCAGGCACAGATATGCATGCCAAGATATAGGAAGTATTTGATAGGAGATATTAAAATATTTGACCATATTATGGCCATGTGAACTCATATACACTAAGGTAACGAAAACTAATAAAGGTAAGGCTAGAATATTAAAGTTATTGAACAAGAGATGTGGCCAACATATTGTCCGTGAGTTTATTAATAGCCCAGCAGACTATTGCCAGGAGAACATTGCTGGTTGCAGCTATATAGTAACCTAAACATGCAAGTCATTGAATTGCTGATTTTTGAATCATGAACATACTAGTACTAACTTTGCAAACATTTGTGCCCAATGAACATTTTTTGAGAACACTGGGAAAAGTAGCAAGTTATAGTACTAGAAATTCAATATTATTGTGTGCACATATAATCACGTACAATAACACACTCATCCACAACACAATTAGTCTGAATTTATGTTAAATGATACAACTAATAGAATTAAAGACACCCAAACATTTTAGATATTAACGGAAAAGCCTACATATGGCCATGTATTAAATTTATCCATTTTGCAAACTTATCAATACAAATTAACCTGTCTATTGAGGAAATGGTGGTTTTATGGTTATTGACACAAAGTAATATATTTATACATTGTGATTGGTGAAATATTAACATAAATATTAACAATAAATGCTATTTTGTTTTAAAATAGAAAACTTTAACAAAGAACACAATTGTAACCAAACACTGTCGTATGGTAACTGGCAAACTTTCTCAAACATGTGAAAGGGGACTTTTATTTTAGTCACCACAGTATGTAATTGACACTCTATTGGCAAACTACTTATTTTTACTTACAATTTTAACAATATATGGGCTGAAGTAATCCCATGCAGTGAAATAGAAAGGTGGCGAAATGGAGCCATTCTTTCAACTGGGAGATCAGCCATGTCGCTTGAGGATTCTGCAAGTCACGCATCTGTATTTGATAGTCTTTGCCAATCTTGTCACGCCTACAACCCAATATTCACTTCTCACTTTGGCAGCAGTTGTTGCTACCCCATAATGCCCTTGCTCATGTACATGCCGGGTTATCAAATATGATATGTAGTGGTCATTGGGCAACAGAACTGGATGCCTACTTTCATATGATAGCTTTCCGTTACAAGCTCTTCCTCCGACATGAATAATCTTATCCTTCTCAAAGATGCTTAGTGACTTGAACTCTTCTTTTATTCTCTCATGAAGTGATTTTTGTGCTTCAAAGATCCAGTAACTTTCTGCCACCGCTAACTCTTCTGTAGATAGCGGACCACCTTTAATTACATTCTTGGCTTTCAAGTTTGTAATGAATCCTAATATATATGCTGTCACTTGGATCAACTTTCTCCATTTAGAGAATTTCTTGTAATCAATACCCTCTGATTCTTTAACCATTAGCACAGTTTTCATTCTTTACTTTTCTCTGTAAATTTCACTGACTTCTGCTTTAGGAACAGACTTTGACCACTCTGCTTCTGGCAACAGTAAAACAAGCTGGTCCATTCTTCCTGTCACCTGCAAGACTGTTGACGTTAATGCCTCTGGATATTTTGTCTGGTATATTGAATTCTCCTGGTATGTGCCGCCAATCTGATGGATCGGTTTGACTTTGAATCTCAGAAACTCTGTTGGCCACAAATGACTTGTATTGCCTTGACTGACTTCGAATCCAGCACAAGGCGATAACACTATCAAGACAGGAATATAACTTGATCAAACTTCACTGACATTTCTTCAGTCTAGATGCAATGACGGCTGCTTGCAGTTCTAGACAAGGTATTGGCAAATTCCTTAGTGGCGCTACACGAGACTTTGCAGCAATAAACCTTACTCCAACAGTTCCATTATTTGTCTCCCAC